TATTTATTTATTTATTTATTTATTTATTTATTTATTTATTTATTTATTTATTTTCAGCCAATATTTAGAGATAATACATGTAAGGTGCCTGGTGCTTCCCTGGGAAGGCTGTGAACACTCCCTTACAATTAAATGAGAAATTTGGGGCTTTGTGTACTTACCTGAAAAGAGAGTCCCAGTGATTTTATCATGTCCCCAGGGGGTCCAAGACATGCTCTCTTCCCAGACAGACCCATGGGAGAGGCAGGGAGCAGGTAAGCATGTGTACTCTGGAATCAGATACATCCGAGCTCAGAGCCCTGTGTCTTTATTTTTTTAACCGCGCTGTGTGACAAGGGCAAGTTACATCTTTAAGCCTCAGTTTTCAGTTTTCTCACCTATAGAATGGGATGATAGAACCTACCCCACGAAGTTGATGCAAGCATTGAGGTCATCCGAGCACGCCTCCTTGCTTTCTTGTCGGTGTGTGTGGGCTCTTGCGTGTAGTCTCTGTTTATGCGCACTTTGCTTTTTCCTGCGCATTGTAGGCCTCCTTCTGGGCCAAGCACCCTGTGCAGGCCTCAAGAAGCTCTGCATTCTATTCCACTGTTTTTTCTGCTTTCTTTAGAACAAATAATCATTGTGAGGTCGTGTCCTCAGCTGAATATCCTCCTTCCAGCTCCTCTAGAGCCTGTTTGCTGGCCACATTGGGAGCTGCGTATTTGCACTATTCCAAGCAGCCTAGGAAGCATTAGAGGCTAGAATCCTAGAGCCTGAGGCATGGAGCCAAGGAGCCGGCCTCCTTCGGGAAGGAGAGACCACCACAGTGCTGCCCAGAGGGGAGAGGCTGTCTTCTGCAGCACCTCACTTTGTAGCTGCCTCCCGTAGCCTCAGAGGCTGGCGCTGTGGCCTCATTTCTTTTGTAATTTGCACAATAGACCAGAAGATGGGGCTCTTGACCTTGGAGTCAAGGGCCAGAGGCTCTGACTTTTTCCACCCTTGAAGAAGAGGAAAATAGAGCCACCAGAGCTCCCAGGGATTCTCTACCTCCTTAGCCCTCTCCCTTCCTCTGTCCGCTGGGGCCCACCCCCACGGCTCAGAGCTATCTTTTTGGGGAGTGGGGAATTCGGGGCACATCCTCCCCTTGAACAGCATCCTTGGCCTCTCCAGAATTACCAGGTTGCTGGAGTCATTCTATCTGACCCCCTGCCCCAGCTTCACCTCCTGTAACCCACCAGGCCCCAGCGGCAGATGCTGGCAGGATTGCATGGTGGCCAAGAACTCAAGAGTCAGACAGACTCATCCTTGACTCACCTCCTCAGAGGACCTCTCACCGATGATCTAAAGGAGCTCCCCATCTAAAGGAGCTCACCCCACCCCCATGCCAATTACCCTCTATCACATGACCTTGCTATTGACTTCTTAGCAGCCATCATAATCTGTTGTCTGTTTACTTACTTACTGTCTCCCCACTAGACTGTAAGGCCCAACAGGGCAAGACCCTGTTTGTTGTGTTTTTTGTTTGTTTTAGAGAGAGAGAGAGACAGAGACAGAGACAGAGATTGTGAGAGGACAGCAGGGAGGAGAGGGAAAAGCAGACTCCTCACTGAGCAGGGAGCTTGATGACCTGGGGCTTGATCCCAGGACCCCAGGATCATGATCGAGTTGAAGACAGATATTTAATTGACTGAGCCATCCAGGTGCCCCAAGACCCTGTTTTATTGTTCTTTCCCTGACATGTAACATGGGCCTGAACACAAAGGTCCTTAGGAAATGTATTTTGAATTAATAAATGACCAAAGCCCAGTTTCATAACTGCCTGACCTGAAGAAAGCTGCTAAACTTCCCTAAGCCCCAGTTTTCTTACCAGTGAAATGGAGATATAATAGAGATATTACAAATATCACATAACACAATGCATTTATACGACAAAGCCTGGGTCCTGGTACATGGAAGCATTCTCCAAAACTTTCAGCAGTCTTACTTTCTGTCCTGGAGAAAAGTAAAGTCTGAATTAATTGGGTAGCTCTTCATAATTTAGCCATAGTTGGTTTTTGTTTTTGTTCTTTAGAGAGAGCCATAGTGTGTGCTTGGAGGGTGTGGGGAGGAGGGGGAGAGGGAAAAGGGCAAAGGGAATCCTAAGCAGGTTCTATGCCCAGCTGGGAGCCAACAGGGGGAGGGGGGGGAGGGAGGGTCTGTCTCACAACCCTGAGATCATGACCTGAGCCAAAATCAAGAGTCCAGTGCTTGATGTTAAGGGACTGAGCTACCCAGGTAACCCTGTTTGGTTTTTTAGACCACAATTTGTACTTCCTACTGTTCTTCTCTGACTTTTTGCTTTGGCTCAAATGATGACTTACTCTGAATGGGCCACATAGATTCCTATTTTTTTTTTTTTTAAGATTTATTTTGGAGAAAGTGCGCACAAACACGAGTGGGGGGGGGGCAGAGGGAAAGTTCTGTGTTGATAGCTCAGTTCCTGAGCATGGAGCCCAACACAGGGCTCAATCCCATATCATGAGATCATGACCTGAGCTGAAACCAAGAGTTGGGCACTCAACAAACTGCTCCACCCAGGCACCCCCATTCCTATTATTAAGTCTTTGTCCAGTAGTCGAGATGCTTGCTCTCCTAACCTTGGCTCAATTATTTTCAGATTTAGCTCTAACCCATGTCCTCTGTGTCATGTTCCTGAAGTGTCCCAAGTCATAAAGATCATTTCCTCTTCTGAATTTTTATAATCTTTGTTGTCTACATTACTCATATGGCTCTTATTCTATGTTTTATTATCTTGTCATCATATTCACATGTTTTCTGTTTCCCTGATGAGACTACAGGCCCTTTGGAGATACATATTGTATTGTATTGTATTTATTTATTTTAAAGATTTTATTTATTTACTCATGAGAGACACAGAGAGGGAGAGAGAGAGAGAGAGAGAGAGAGAGAGAGAACAGAGGGAGAAGCAGGCTCCATGCAGGAAGCCCGAAGCGGGACTTGATCCCAGGACTCCAGGATCAGGCCCTGGGCCCAAGGCAGGCGCTAAACTGCTGAGCCACCCAGGGACCCCCATGTATTGTATTTTAAATGTCTGCATCTTCAGTGCCATTTAGGCCTCTACTTAGTAGGTGTTGAATATGTTTTTGATTGAATTAAAAGCACATATATTTATTGAGTACTTTCTATATGCCCAGCATTCTTTGATGCTCTGTGGAGTACAGAAGGACATAAAAAATTATCTTAAAAAAAACTTAACAATATTATATAGTAAGGTAAAGTCAACATATAAGTGAAGTACTTAAATAACCATAGCATGGTAACTGTCATAAGAAAGGTATGGAGTCCTGTGAGGCTTCAGGGAAGGGAGAGAGGATATCTCTAAGAGGTATTGGAGTGGGATAAAGAAAGGTTTCTTGGAAGAGATAACCTTTGAGATTGACTTTGGAAGATGGTTAAGATTTTGACGGGCAGGGGCACCCGGGTGGCTCAGGGGTTGAGCGTCTGCCTTTGGCTCAGGTTGTGGTCCCTGGGTCCCGGGATAGAGTCTTGCAGCAGGCTCCCCGTGGGCTTAGAAACAGGACCAGGGGCCTTAGATCAGAAATATGGCTCTGCCCCAGGGACACTGAAGCACAACCTTGTTTCAAATGTCAGGGCCAATGCAAGTTGTGCTAGGCAGGGGTTGAAATGTAACATGTACCGGACTATGTTCTCCAAACGTAATTTCTTTTGAGGCCAACAATCCTTTGGGCTGTTTTTCCCCCTCTAATAATATGGACTCACCTACAGGCTTTTGTGATACTGCATGTAAAGCAAAAGGCCCCTTGCCTCCTCTTGGGGACGGAAGATTGGTTGGACTGTGGCCAGCCTCTCTTTGCTTTCAAGTCCAAATCAAATTGAATGCATTACTCATGATTTTCTAACCTTGCCTTAGATCAGTAGTTCTGTTGTTAGATAATAATTTGCCTTAGATCATTTCTCGGAAAAAGTTGGAAGCGTTCTTGCAGAGTGATTTCAGCCATCAACCTGGGCTCAACTCTTGTGACTTTTCTGTGCCACCCTAAGACCCAGGGAGAAGACCTAAGTGGTAGTGAGCCTTGGAGGGGGTCTGACACTGCCCGCCCGCTTCTCTTCAACGCCCTTTTCATCTGGCCACTAGTTCGAGTTTAACGAGTAATTTTAGAAGGCCGGTCCCCCCCTCCCCAGGTACTTCCCTCTGCAATCCCCGGGGCCTGACCTAAGTCATAACATCAGAGTGACACAAAAGCGACAGTTCCCCAGTGTTCGAGGGTCAGGTGCGGCCGCAAATAGCACGAGATTTTCAATTTCTAGCGAGCAGTCGGGAGGACCTTTAAGCCCAGAGGCCCCCGAAGGGAGGGCGGCGGTTTCCCGGGCAACCGGGCCCGGAGCGGTAGGCTCCCCGGGCTCCCTCCTCCGCCGCCTCCCCTCCCCCCTCCCCTAGCCCGGGTACCGCCGCCCGCCCCTCCCCTCCCTGCCTTCCCCCCCCCTCCCCGCGTCCCCTGTAGCCCGGGTACCGCCGCCCGCCCCCCTCCCCATCCCTCCCTCACGTCCCCCTCCCGATAGCCTGGGTCCCGCCAGCCGCCCCCCCGCCGCGTCCCTCTCCCCCTCCCCCTCCCGGTAGCCCGGGTCCCGTCGCCCCCCTCCCCTCCTCCCCCTCTCCCTCCCGGTAGCCCGGGTCCCCCCTCCCTCCCCGTCTCCCCCCCGCATCCCCTTCCCGGTAGCCCGGGTCCTGCCTCCCTCCCCCTCCTCCCCCCGCATCCCTCCTCCCGGTAGCCCGGGTCCCCCCCCCTCCCCGCCTCGCCCCCCCCCCCCGCCGTCTCCCCCTCCCCCTCCCCCTCCCGGGAGCCCCGGGCCGCCGGCGGCGTCCTCCCGAGCTCCGCGCGCTCATTGGCCGCCCAGGCCGCGCGCCCATTGGCTGCGGCGAGGCCTCCGGGCTGGCGGCAATGGAGGCGGCGGCGGTAGATGGGTGACGGCCGGCTCGGGGGGGGGGGGGGGGGCGCCGCTCGGCCGGGCTCGGAGGCGACGGGAGCGCGCGGGCTGCTGCCTCTGGGCCCGGAGCCCCGGAGCCCCGGCCGCCCCGGCCGCCGCCCCGCCATGCCCGCGGGCAGCGGCGAGCCCGACGGCGTCCTCCGCTACCAGGTAGGGCCCGCCCCCCGCGCTCCCCGCCCGCCCCCCGCGCTCCCCGCCCGGCCCGCGGCGCCCCGAGGCCCAGGCCGGGCCCGCGCGGGACAGCAGGGGGCGCCCCGGGCGGCGGGGGCGGGCGCGGGCCGCGACCGGGTGACCTTGGGCGGGAGCGGGAGCGGGAGCGGGAGCGGGAGCCGGAGCCTCGCTGCACCCCGAGGCGGGCGGGGACCTCCCCCCGGGAGGGACGGGGACAGGTGGCCGCGGACCGTGCTCCCGGGGGGGGGGGGGCAGGTCTCCTCTTTGTTGTTTTCATTTCTGGAGACTTCTGGTTCCTCCAGTGGCTGCGAGAAAGAGCTGGAAAGAGCGGAGGCTGGACCAGACCCCTCAGTGTGCTGGGGCTTGCGACTGCCTCGGTTCCATCGGTTCCATCGGGCGACAGCTGACAACCTGGGGGGGGGGTCAGGGAGGTCAGGAACAGGTGTTCAATTAAGGGAGTAAGTGGTGACCCAGCCGTTGGGGTGCCAGGTGGCAGGTGGCAGGAAAAGCCCTGGACTAGGGGTCAGAGACCACAAGGCTCAAATCCTGCACCTGCCTCCACCGGCCTTGCGACCTTGAGGAAGTCGCTTGCCTCCTTGAGCCTCAGTTTCTCCATCTAGTAAAATGGGGATGGGGATAGCGGCCTTGCCCACCTCACAGGGTTGCCCTGAAGGCTAAGCGAGGTGCTATTTGTGAGAGGCTCTACTGTGTGACAACAGCTCATTGAACTCTCACTCCCCCCCTTTTCCTGTGCAGTCAGGTGGTCCAGTTACTGCTCTGGAAAGAGATGGAAGGGAGAAGGTCAAGCCAGAAGTGGAGGGCTGTGAGGAGGACGATGGGACTTCCCAGGAAGGATGATGGGCCTTGGAAACAAGGGCCATGTTGATGTCAGCGATTGTTTGCGCAGGGGAAGCATTCCAAGTTTGTAGCAAAATGGGCATCAGACACTGACTCTCTCTTCTTGCTGGCAGTGGTTTGCCACTAGAACATCCATGATTCCTCGTTTGTGTGCTCCATCAAAAAATGATGAAAACCGTATCTAAGATTTTGGAAGATCTTTCCGTATCTGATCCTCCCAAGGCCCGCTGAGTGTATTCAATGTATGTTGGGGATACAGCGGTGAGCAGAAATAGGCAAAGTTCTTGCCCCCCCTGGAGCTCCCTGTCTTGGAGGGTGGGGAGAAATAACTATTTTTAATCAAATAATCACACAAATAAATGTATTATTTGGAACCGTGAAGAGTGTTTCGAAGGAAGGATAAGCAGTGCTCTGAGTGGTTCCAGCCTTGGTCTTAGATGAGAGGAGAGTTTGCCAAGGAAGAGAATTAAGGATCTAAAGGCTAAAATGTCAACCGAGGGAAGAGGGAGAGCAAAGGACATTGGAGACAAAGACAATGAAAGGAGCACATCTAGGTAGAGGGCCTGAAAGGCGGCCAGTGTGGCTGGAGCCACAGGGAGCTATGTGGGGAGTGGTGTGAGATGCACTCTGGGGTCCTTATGGGCCATCCTGAGAAAGTTGGGATTTATTTGAAGAACAAGGGGAGGCCACTGAAGGGGTTTAGGGAGGGAGGGGAAGGAAGAGAGAGAGTGTGAGAGAGAGCACAAGTACATGAGAGTTGGGGGGGGTAGTATGAGAGAGCAAGTTCCAATGAGATCATGATCAGGTTCTCCTAGTGAAAGATTTCTCCGGCTCCAGTGCGGAGACTAGAATAGGCTGGAACGAGTGTGAGGAGACAGTGTCCTTAACGTGCACAACGTGTACCCGTTGTATTGTCAAGATCGTAATAACCCGTAAACTTCTGTTAGTGCTCCGTGAACGTGATAATGCCTGAGTGCTTCTGGGGCGGAATCAGAAATAATGATCTCCTTCACATCCAGTTCGTGTAACTTTCATGGTGGTGGGGCGAGGAGAGGAAAAGGAATAGAGCAGAAGCTGTAGGACCTCTTGAAGGCTGAGTCAGGTGATGGGCAGACGGGTACCTGAGATCTAGGGAGGAAAAGAAATGAGGGCAGGAGGAGGAAAGGAAATAGGGATGACTTGGGGGACACACAGTCAACTGATTGAAGTTTACCGATGAGGCCTCCTATGTGCAGCTGGGTTGTCTGTGTGTGTATGTGTGTGTGTGTGTGTGTGTTGCAGGGGATGGACCTTGCAAAGCCAGGAGATTGTGTAACTTGATGTAAACGGAGATTCTAGGCATCACGTCTAAATATATTAAGTCTAGGCTGTTTTCTCTGGTTTTGACTACTCTACTCACGTCCTACACTCTCCTCTGCTTTCTCTCTTGCTTCTATTTTTTTTAAATTTATTTTTTTATTTTTTTATTTACGATAGTCATACAGAGAGAGAGAGAGAGAGGCAGAGACACAGGCAGAGGGAGAAGCAGGCTTCATGCACCGGGAGCCTGACGTGGGATTTGATCCCGGGTCTCCAGGATCGCGCCCTGGGCCAAAGGCAGGCGCCAAACCACTGCGCCACCCAGGGATCCCTTCTATTTTTTTTTAAATAAGATTTTATTTATTTATCCATGAGAGGCAGAGACACAGGCAGAGGCAGAAGCAGGCTCCATGCCGGGAGCCCGATGCGGGACTCGATCCTGGGACCCCGGGGTCACGCTCTGGGCCGAAGGCAGACGCTAACTGCTGAGCCCCCCAGGCGTCCCTGTCTCTCGCTTCTATTGTCCACTTTCCGCGTGGCAGCCAGAGAGAGCTTTTAAAAACACAGGTCACGCCCGTTCCTATCTTGAGACCCTTCCGTGGCTTCCCAGCGCGTGTGAGAATGAGATCCAAGCTCCTCAGCGCGGCCCACCGAGCTTCAGGCCTCTCGTCCTGCACCTCTGCTGTGGGTTTCTTTCTGTGTCTTCAATATGGCAAGCTCCTGCGTGCTTCAGGACCTTTGTTCTTGTTCTCTCTGCCTAGGACAGGATTCTCTCCGGGCTCTTTGGTGACTCAGCTCAAGTGTTGCCTCCTCAGAGTGGCTTCCCCTCCCCTCCACCCGCAGTCACTCTCTCATGTGATCCTGTCGTAGATGGTAATAGCTCTTCTAACTTACCTGAAGTGTTCTTGTTCCATCTCATTATTACCTTTCTGAGTAGAAGCTTCATGAGGGCAAGCGCCAGGCAGGAAGTCTTGTCACGCAGCGCAGTTCCCGGCGTAACATAGGGGCTCAGTTGGGTGAGCGAATGAGTGACTTTCCTGTTTCCCGAGCCGACGTGCTTCTCCTTGAGGAGCTCGTGGTCTTGTCAGGATTAGCACAGAGCATCAGGTGCCCATTGCCTGGTCACACAACAGCTCTCCCTTGTGTGTGGCTGTGCCTTTGCTCAGGTGTTCCAGCTGGGAACTCTTTCCCCTCCTCTTCACCTAGAATATTCCATTTAGCTTTCAAGGTCCGGCTCTGTGTCACTGTCAGAATTTGTCACTCGGTCTTCTCTGCTCACAATGCCCACCAAGAGCTATTACTGCCTCCGGAGGATGTGCCTTTAATCCCTCTGCAAGACTGTAGTTTGTGTCTTTGAAACCTAGACCAGTGTGGCTTGGAGTGAGCCCTTAATGAGCGTTTGGGAAGATATATGGCAAGGTGTACAAAGGGTGTTTTGGATTGGGCGGAGACTGGACTGAGGAGGCCAGCCAGGAGGCTGTCGGGTACGATGTCTCAATGAAGGCCTGCGGTACCCAATTTTGATGAGATCTCTGGAGGTGGTGACTGAAAGCTAAGGAGTCAACGAGCTCTTAAAGGGGCCAGGTGGTAAGGGAGGAAGAAGATCAGAGAGCTTTAGGGAGAGCCTCTAGCTTGGACTGGAGCTGAGGACGTCTTGTATCTTCAACGTTCTCCTGACCAGGACTTGCAGAACTGAGCAGAAAGAAGTGCTGGAGGAGAAGCCTGGCGTGGTGCAAACCATCAGCACTTGAGCCAAGTGGTGCTGCGAACTACAGGCACGTTGAGGCGTGGTGTCAGTGACGGAGAGGGGAGCAAGTGAGTTTGGGTGGTCACCAAGGCTTTAGGTGAATCAAGCCTGCTCAGAATGGAACATTCTACAGAAACCTTTTAGAAAACCAAGCCCTGGGAAATGGGTGATAGTTGGGAATGACGGCTGATGAGAAGACAGTCACGTTCCATACCTTCTGTGGACCTGAGAAAACTCCTTCTGGCCAGGACTTCCCGAAGGAGACCTGAACGCCAGCACCTAATGCCTGGCGAGTGTCCGAGCCCAGCAAACATTTGCTGAATGGGATCGAATGAAAGTGTCAACCATAGCAGTTTCTCCTCTCCTACGCTCCAGTGTACAATGCTTATTCCTCCACCGTCTCCCAATACACACTAGGTGTTCTTTTCCCGTGTGTGGGTGGGTGGGGGGAACTGTGAGCATTCTCTGTGCTTGGCTTTACCAGCTCTACTGGGGAGCTTCAGTAGGAGAGATGTGGGCTGTCCTGCTAAGCGGAGAATCGAGGTAGTCTGGGGGACCATTCGGGGTGCCAATCTACTTCCTTCAGAATCTGCAGATAATTGCTTTAGCTCAGGTTTGCCTTGGCAGGGTAGACAGCGCTCTCGGTCAAGATTACCACGTACTGATCAGGACGCAGAAAGTAACCATGTTTACCTTAGATCCGCTGCCAGGTAACAGCAACAAATCTTGGATAATGGAGAGGTTGGCTGTTTCACATAAGGTACTAAGAAGTTTACTCTGGTCTTGGTAGTTAGGGAACCACATGTGTGATTTAGTTTCTATTACCAGCATAGCACATTACCACAGATTTTGTGACTTAAAACGACACACGTTGATTATCTCCTAGTTCTGTGCGTCTCAAGTCCAGTGCAGCTCTCACTGGGCTATATCCAAGTGTGGGCAGGGCTCTAGTTCTTTCTGGAGGCTGTTTCCGTGACTTCTTCAGCTCTGAGGACTTCCTGTATTCCTTGGCTCCTAGGAATGAGAGGGTCTTCCACCCCCCTTCCACCTTTTAGGGATCCTTGTGATTACGTTG